TAGAAATGCCACCACCAAGGACAGAAAAGGAGGTGTGAGGCTTTCTAGGTAAAGTGCAATTCGTAAGATGGTTTATTTCAAAATTAACCTTGACTTGTGAACCACTTTTTGGTCTCCTAAAGAAAGGAAAGAAGTTCTAGTGGGTTGACCGATGTCAGTTTGCTTTTGAGTAGATCAAGCAGTACCTTCATAATCCACTTGTGTTGTCGCCACCAAAGCCGGGGAAGCCCTTGATTCTGTATCTGTCAGTAACGGACACAACGATGGAATGTATGCTCGCTCAAGAATATGAGGATAGGGTAGAGAAAGCCATCTATTGCCTGAGTAAGAAGATGCTAGATTATGAGACCCATTACACCCCGCTGGAGAAGGCTTGCTTAGCCTTGGTATGGACTACCAGGAAGTTGAGGCACTACCTGTTAGCTCACTCCGTAATTCTAGTTTCGAGATTAGATCCCATCAAATATCTCTTTGAGAAACCAGCACTTACAGGTAGGCTAGCCCATTGGTTGCTTCTTCCCGCATGTAGACCGGTTTGACAGTTTCGGGGATCCTATGGTTTATCTACGGCTATTCTCTGATATCCTACGACCAATGGGTCTCACCAAACTACAGAAGCTGTCGCTCTTTGGCCGGACACTGTCGGGTATAACAGCCATTTGAGTGGCAAATCGTGTTTTAAGCCCACTGTGCTTCGTGGCAAATCCGCATCTTTTAAGCCCACTTGAGGTGGCAAATTCAAACCATCTTCGCAAACAAACATGAGTTGAATTGTTCCAAATTGGGCAAACTATTCTATACTTACTTGTGCGCATCACATAGTAAAGCTAGTTTAATAACCGGAGTAAGAATGCATAGTGTTTATAAAAATCATATCATGATTAGTAGGGGCCCATCTTTGATAGGGCGAGCGGGGGTGCTCAATTCATGACCTTCCGCTAAGTTCCCGAGCCGAGGCAACTTTGGTGATGACGGACACGTGGCCTTCGACACATGTCTGGGTTTCCTAAATTTCCCCAAAATAAAAAATATTTAGGTGGTGACTCTGTATCTAGCAAAGTAGTCTAATTTTGGCATTATTTGATTTAAAATCGATTTTCCAAAAA